AGGGCAGGACCGCAAGTGTCAGCCTGCGCTAGATTCAAGATCAGCGTTCGCGCATGGGAGCAGAGGTGCTATAAGCAGGTCGTATACCTGCGATCAGGCTGAATTCCACAGTGGTCCCTTTTCGAGGTATCCTGGAAACGTTGAAGAGTGGTCAGAAAAATGCGTTGTATTCTCCTGCACGTATAGCGCCAATTATTGGAGCGGGTCAGGCGACATGGTTGTCAAAATGATGCACGACTTCTGGGACATCGTAAAATCTGCTGATCTGTGTGATCCAATGAAACACGGGTCAATACTTATCCATTTTATAAAATTTTTCGCAGTAATTTTTTTCTGTGCGTTATAAATTATGAGTGCATAGTCCAATCCTGGTTGCTTCAGATGCATCTTACTCTCCACCCTCGTTGAATCGATCCGGCTATAATACTACCGAAAGGGAAACCTCTGGTGGAATGCGTCGAGCTAAGAGTGAAAGTGCTATGATTGGACCAGAGAGGTGGGACATTTTAATGAATATCAAAAAATGTGGACTCAAAAAAGTCGCATGGTATAAATGAAAGCCTTGAGGCTGAGCAAGCCGCACACTTTCACTCACTGAGGGGTAACCGGCAGGCACCTAGAAGTTCTCAGTGGTTGGTTGGATCATCTGTGATCCATCGCTAAGTACCTCTCTCGAAGGTCCGGTAGACCTTCACCTATAATGTATCCTTTCTTTCAGAGGAGAAAGTCCAGGTAGCCTTCCACGTGGTCTCAAGCGATTCACTCCTCAGGAGCAGCAACTATACCATCCCATTCAGCACTCGAGAGCAATGTCAAGAAGGTACTCAACATCGCTCTGTATCAATTTTACTACCAGTCTTGCTGTTGATGAATTAATTCTTTGCGGATTACCGCTTTGATCCACATTTGTCAACATGGGGCTAGAGAAGCTCTGCTGCTTTCCCTCGCTTTGTAAACAACAGCGCGCTTCATGTTTTTCGTTCACAGCTCTCTTGAACGAGCTAGTTGTTTTATACTAATGTCGTTGCGATCCTAGGCACTTCGGTCCCTGTCCGATCGGACATCGCTAATCCGCTAACAGGCTCGGCCCACTTGATCGTTGATGTTCTTCTAGTTGCGAATAGGTTCTGATTTTCGGTAGTCGATAGAGAGAAGCTCAGGGAAGTCCCTCCTGTATGGTTCAATATGGAGAATTTCGGCTTCGATCATGCTATGAGTTCTGACCAGAGTACTGAATAGATCAGAAATAAAGTTGAATGAATACGAGTATCCGAAGACATTTGATCACATTGGATTTCAAAACCTGAACCTGAAATTTGAAACACGTTGGATTTTGAAACTGTGACTTGGAGCGCTTTCAAATAACTGTACGACAGCGCAGCGATAATCTGAAACATGTCCAGTGCACCCTTCTCTTCTCATATGCAAGAGCTCAAAGTATTTCAGGGAACGACCTTCCTTTAGAAGGTCTAGGATATCACCAAAAACTACGGTTATTCTGCCCACGAAGGCTTTTGCAGTGCGTATGCCCAGTTTCTATTACCTATGTTGGTGTCTGGCGTGTCTGTTCTTGTTTCCTCATCGCTCACTGACTCTCCACAGACGCTTGGTAGTTGAGGAACTGCAATACGATCATAAGGCCCAACATAAGCGCTCAACATCGTCAACCCCTTTTATATGCACTCGCGTGCACCTTTAAAGGTTGGATTTATCTTCCCAGCTAAACGGTAGATTGTTCAAGTGACCAGCTCATTTCAGAAGGAATTTCATCTCTTGTGCTCCTAATCTCCTACCTTATCGAGCTTCTATTCTGCTGCGTAGAAGGGGGAGGGGAACCTGGAACTAATGTTGATCTTGGCGGCTGTGAACGAAAAATGTGGCATGTGGCGCCTTTTAGAATTTTTCCATACAACTTTTCAATCTCTAATTATTCTTTAGTGTCCATGATCTGTCCACACGCGAAGAGGTTCCGACGACAAATACGTTGACTCGTCCAAATTCTGCTCGACCTTCATCAGCTCGAGCTCAAAGTCGAACTTTGACCAGGAGAGTCTCTTCGCCTCCATATTCTCCAACAAGACATGATTCAAGGTGAATGCTAATTAATTGCAGTTTGAAATTGAGGTTAAGGGATCGCACCTTTCAAACGTTGAATCAGAGACCTTTCACAACTTTTTAACTCCATAGTTTCTTCTCTTACGATAATAGTATGTGTATAAGTTGTATGGGTGGGCTAGTTAACAAGGAACGCCATTTTGAGTGCACAGTGCAAGTCAAGTGTGCGCTCGAATGTCGCTCAGGTCACATATTAGGATGGTAAGAAAGTCCTGAGCCGTTTGACACTTTTTTGTTCTTTACTTTTTTATTCCGCGTACAATGGAATCTACTCAACAATATAATCACCATTGTTACTCACTACAGAGTCCCACCTAATGGGCAGGTCAGCGACCCCCTTCTCCCAGAACTGAGCAGACTGAGAGTCAAAGAAATCGCTGACCGCTCTTTCAACGTCTTCAACTTTGGTGAATTTTTTCTTCGCTAGGAATGCCTTAAGGGGATGAAATAAGTGATAATCAGAGAGGGCAATGTCAGGGGAATAGGGTGGGTGGGGAACCGCGTCCCAGATCAGCTCTTCCAATTTTGCACGGGTCTCTTTAGCTATGTGGGGCCTGGCGTCATCGTGGAGTAGGTGGACAGAAGTTCGTCTCGGTCGTTTTTCTTGAACAGCGTCCGCTAGTTTCTGGAGCTGACTGGCGTAAATGCTGCCGGTAGCGGTATGTCTTTGCGGGAGCATCTCATAATACAACATTCCTCACGAATCCCAGAGGTAGCAAAGAAGACAGTTTTTGGGGTGAAGGTCCGATTTTGCTTGTGTCGGCGGGTCTTCTCCTCGAGGAGCCACACGGCACTGTGCTTCCGGCTTTTGAGGGCCGATCAAGAACAAGTGGGTACAATTAGATCGCTGGGTAAGCATGCTTACTGGAACGAGAATCTGGGTGCCTAAGCAAACGATGATTAAGACTCTCGATGCAAAAAGGACTTCGCATAGAAATGCCCTACATAATTCTGCCCGGCTGGGAGATTCGCCCAGCCCCAACTGACTATCAGCCTTTATCCAATTGCCATTTAACCCTTACAACAGATGGGCAGAGCATAGTGTTCACGCTGGCGATACCACCAATATTGGAATCTTTTGCGGTGCTGAAGACGTACTGACAGAATGAATTCTGTCAAACGAGCTCAAACCTTTCAATATTATTGATTTTTCTTCACAGTCGTCCACTTACAATTACCACTGCAATTTTCGTTTTCAATCTCAACCAAAGACGCATTACTGCCTTTCTCTCGTATGGGATGATAAAAACTCTATTTTATACCAGATCAGCTCGCCCCTTGGTGAGACTGAATCGCATTCAAACTTCACAGCGAATTTTGATAGGAGTAGAACGCACAGCGCATTTTCTGGAGAGAATAGACGCGTTACTTCCTCGGTCCCTGCTTTTCCACCACGCCACCGAGATAGAGAGAACCTCAAAAATTGTAGCATAAAGTGCTTGAATGTTCAATTATTGCATCTCGTTTCATGGGAAGCGATGGAAGACTTCATCTTTTTTAACATATATTTACCTTAGCGTCTTTTGAACTTTAGCTGTTTTCCGAGCGTTCCTGACAGGACGTCACGAAGGGGGCGTTTGGTAGGATAATGTGCTATTGCTAAGCTTTGAGCCATTTTCAAGCCTTTGAAAACCACGTGTACGTCGAAACGTAGGCCACAATAAGTTTAGCACCTAACAACCTCTAGACAAAGGTAACAAACCAACTATGTTCACCTTAGTAAATACTTTGGAGCTATCACGTTTGATGATGAGCTAAACCGATAGTATGGACGATCCATAAATTTTGATTTTTTTTTGGTTTTTTGTTTTGTAGTTATACATGGTTCAACGCACCTATTTTGACACTCGCGTTCATAAGAGCACCTCAGGGCAGTGAATAGCAAAAGAAGTAAAGGGTTTAATTGATTTTGAACTCTCCTGGAGAGCTTCTTGTCTTCGTGGGAGAGGGTTCCACAGTTATTACCTAAGAGATAGTCGGAATTTTCAGAGCTCCAGAACCCATTCTAGAAAGTCTACCCGTCTTCTAGTTTGCGGCTACCTTTTTGTTCGCATTTGTCAATAACCCACTAATTTCTGGCTTTCTTCAGACTGCAAGTCGACTCATCACCACCACGTGCTCGTTATGCCAGTCCGGCTTCTCCTCGAGCTCGCTTCGCAGAGCCACCGATTGTTGAAGCGCAAGTGCCTCACGCCGGCTTCAGCTATTTGTTCCCATCGCAGCCTGTCGTCGCCAGTGTGGTTCCAAAAAGGGCCATCACACCGGATTCGCACTCACATTCAAGACAGGTTGTATTAAACGAAAAAATTACTTCCGAAAAACCTTATAAGACATCGGTCATATTCAGTCCATAATGCGATCGCAGTCACCATCACGATTGATGTCACCTAGTCCAACGTCGCGACCAGATTACGAGTCAAGGTCGGTGATCCTTGGGCTCTGTCCCAGTTTCAAACTAATACGGAAGTATGGGTGGGCAGTGTAAAAATCGGTGCAGAAAATGTGTTTTCAAAAACACTTTCAAACATGAAGATCATACATTTTTGAAGGTCCTACGCAGAAAACGGGCAAGTTGTCTACATTCCCATTAATATGGATAATGGTCGACGAGAGAGACCAAGGTAATTGAAAAGTCACTTCTATGATTTCATTTCTCATGGAGATTTTACTCTTCAGCAGTCGATACGATCGAGCTGATGGTGCGGGGTATTCGACAGAAACAAGAACAAGCAGCCGAGCAGTACGCAGTCCAAGCATCAATGGAGGAATTGGTAAGCCAGAAACCAGTCTATCCGAATTCGGTACAAAATATAATCTGCTGCCCACGGCTGGGCCCATCGCAGCGACAGACTTTGAGGCTCGCGTAGCATTAGCACAGCATATGATATGATTTTTTCGAGGCGCTCGCCCGGTGCAAAACTGATTCTGCAAGTACGACATACCTGGTCACGGGTAGCAAACTGTACCTGTTGGAAGCGAATGTTCGATTATTTGGCAAACCCCGCGATTGCTCGCTATTTCTGGATCCTTACCTCACTTCATCTCCCTTTGAATAAGATTCGGAACATTTCCAGCTGTTCGAATCTTTTTTTTCGAATCTGATTCATGTGTGTGCACCACTAGAATTCTTGAGAAAATTGTTCTGTGATTCAAAGGCACCTTTACGTTGAATGTAAGGGCGGGGTCAGTTGGTAGAGCGTGCGTTTCTCATTGGTCAGCCCTTCGTCCTTTTATGATGGAATATGGGCTCACCAATAAGGAGGGCTCACTGCTCTAACAAGCACTACAGGTTGGTGTCAGATCCGTCACAAGTTTCGCGAGATTCGCGCGATTCGCGACGGGTCACAGAAATCACAAGTGCCCGATCAATACTGCAAGGTGCTCTCCAATCCCGCCGCCATTTCTGCTTGATGGTGATGGCTGAATGACGACTGTTCATGATTCTACTTGTTTCATATTCAGTGTTTCAAATGTTCAAATGGGGCACTTGCGAATTTTTGCGATTCGCGCGAATCGCGCGAAACCTGCGAGGATCGCGGACTCTGCACCGGCCTAAATACAATAGGTATGGTATGTATGAAATGGGTCCTCATGTAAAATTTGGGTATGACGAAATCTTCAGGGAATGATAAGTATTGTTCACGCTAATTGCAATCTTCAAACATTCGACATAGTCCTTGGTGCGTTATAGGTACCAGTTTTCAATAGCTGTTTTGGTGTTCGAAATCGACGGATGTGATAATTGAGACAGAAATACAAAATTGTGATAAAAACATAAATCTGTAGCAATCCGCAGTCATTGTCCACGCTTGTTCTATATTACTGTCCTTCACTCACACCTCTCGGCATTTTCCTTCCACATCGATTTGGAGAAGAGTTTCCAAAGGGTCCACTGATGAAAGCTCAAAACGGTCGGCTTTGGCTTATGCAGCCCCTTATTAGAGGTCTACATTACAACTGTAACAACTTTTGAATACAAAGTTGACGTTGGCTTGCTTCAGGCACCCGACAATTAAAAAAAGAATTCGTGTTACCCCTAGATAAATCTGGTTTAAACCTAGGTCTGCTACTCGGGGTCCCTCTGTGATAACAGTGCTAATTTTCGCTATAATACTATAATATACTATAATAGTTGGGTCCAAAAACCTTGAGCCCATGGTGTCTGAAATAAGTAATAAGGAATTCGATAGAATCATGAAGCATCCGTCGTCAATCAGTCCCTTTTGGGATGCGCCAGCATTTATCTCAGAATAGTAGTAGCAGCTTGGTTGCGACTTCGCCCATACAATTTCGCCTATACAATGACTTGCAGTGGCCAGCCTGTAAACGAGATCAGCGTTTCATTCTTTCAGAAAGTCTGGTGCCAACTACCGACTCTGTAGGGATGGGAGGTCTGGTTTGTCTTGACGGCGTACTGTTCACGATCCGGGATTTCATTCCGGATCGTAGATTGTGGTGAGCAGCTCCACGTACCATTGCACCACTTCCGTCCTTGAAGAGGCTGATGGAAAGAATAAAAGTTTCCGGGTTCAATTTCACCTTACAATCAGGAAAAGGTCCGCTCAGAAATAATCGCTATTCAAGCGAAGTCCTCAATTTTTGCTAGCATTCAACCTGCCCCGGCTCCATGGAATAGCTCACCGGCGGCGCGATGCGAGCGCGTGCAGGTGACGTCACAGCTGCGACAAAACGTCGACGAGAGAGCGAGATAGAAGCATTGCTGTCACTTCACTTGGATAGTGGACGGGTTGCTGGCAGAGACCAATTGGTGCAGTCAGTAGTACCGTGAGCAAAGAGGTA